CTCGATCGCCCAAAATGCTGCTCTCATTGAAGCAATCATGCATAGTAGCATCAGGCGAGCCCCGAGCCTTGCAATCATGCTGCATTGACATATTATTGGTCGCCAACATGCTTTTGCAAACATGTGCAGTCACATACATACATCATGGACACACTCAACTATTTCCAAATTCAAGGAGCAGATTAGCCGTCTTGACATAGCCTCGATTGGATCCAAGTGGGGTCGTCTTGCTGCGTTTCGAAGTAGCCCGATTGAGGAAAATGAAGGACGAGCAGGGCAAACCTGCTGTCAGCAGAGCATCCTCCTTGAGGCGGAGAGTGCAGAGCAGCGCTCGGGCAAATCCCGTCCTTAGCATATATAAGTCAAGGGTTGAAACTGTTAGCAAGTGCTTGCACGTTTAAGGAGTGGGCGTACTGCTCAGGTCGTCTTCAACCCTCTCTTCCAGCTCGCAAAACTCCCTAGGGCAAACACATATAGAGCTCTGTTTGCATTTATGGGAAGCATACATGTGAAACGGCGGGGCTGGGAATCAGACGACTTCTCTCCAAGTGCCCCTCAAATGTTCATGATTGAGTCAGGTCAAGCAGTCACCACTAGTACCTGTGAAGCAATTTGAGTGCTGGACTGAAGGCCAGATCTATGGCCCGCTTTCCAGCGAACATGTCGTAGCACGTGAGGTCCTTTGTCTGAAAGCCACATCGGTGTGACAGCAACCATAAACAAGCAATTGCTCTGTTTGGGGCCCCTGCTCGGGTGTAATCAGCGTGGTGCATCTGCGCCAGGTAGTCGCAAAGGTGGATCCTGACAATTGAGAGGTTTAGGAACACTTTGTGAGCACTGTATGTTCTCAATACGGCTTTTGAGGCCCCGGCACCAACAGTGGAAACCCGAGGCCAATCAGCATGCTCACACACGACCGGCTTAGCGCCAGGTCTGATTTCATCCACTTGGAACCGCTTCCCATAATTCAACTGCACAGGTCAACAGGCCGAAAGCGCGCACAAGCTAGAAGCTTGAGAGTCTCAACAGGCACAATCCATTGCTGCTTCAAAGTCTCATCATGCAGTTGTAGCTATATATGACAATGTTGTGCCTTTTTTTTGCAACACGCTGCACATGTTTGGTTGGCAGTTGGAAAACTATCGCGCTCAGATCAGGATGCATCAACATTCCATCCTGCCAGCTGTTTGGCGGCAAGCCACCTGAAAACAGTGTAGTTTGCCGAATGTTGAGTCAAGTAAAGGCTCAGGGCCTGGCGAGGATTCAAGCGAATCAAACCTTTTCCATCCAAGCGTCAGGCCACCCTTTGCGTTGATCTGCCACAGAAAGGGACAAACCACACAAACTGCAAACCTGAAGCCTTGGCCTTGAATTTTGTCTTGTTTTCCTCGTTGAAAGTAGTCACTGTCTTCTGGTCGGCTTTGTTGATGTAGTACCCCCTGGAGTACAACCTGGTCAAGCAAGATTCAGGGTACACATGGAGAATAGTGAAGACATGGGGGTTTGGCAAAACAAGGGCCTGGAATCTGAGGTTTGGGCACCACTCCAATACTGGTCATCCCTGATGGGCCCTGAATGGTGAAGGACCTAGCACATGCACAGGAAATGGAGGGGTAAGAATTCGGTCATCAACAAGGCCCGCACTTCGTCGCACCACTGAGAACGCTTTCAGGCACCTTGAACAGCTTATCGAGCTTTTCAAGTGGCTTCAGGCTTTTGGCAACCTCATCCTGGCCGCAATCAATTAAATGTTGGTCATAAACAAAAAGCAAGGGTACCCAATTGCAAGTCCTCATGCGCTTGTTCTTGCCGATCTTGAGGTTTCCTTTTCCTCTTCGCGGACGCTTTGGTTTTCGGCTTTGGTTTTTCTTCAGCATTGGAGCCAGAAGCTTTTTGACCTCGCCCACCTCGCCCACCTCGGCCCCGGGAACCTCGACCTCTGCCCTTTGCTCCTCTCCCTTTTCCACGTCCTCGACCCCGTCCTCTTCCCCGCCGTGTCGTTTTTTTACCTTGGCCATGATTAGATGAAAGCTCGGAAGAGTCTTCTCCCCTTTCTGGCTCTGCAGCGGCTTTTCTCAAGACTCTTTGGGCCTGACAAAGGTTAGCCATGATAATATATCTGATGCAAGGGGTTGAGCCTGGATCAAGTCTTCATTGTTTTCCGCTTTGGAGGCCAGCAGATCGAACGCTCGGCGTGCCTCTTCCGGCACCAGGCCGGGCTTCTCGGTCAGCGGCTTGCGGTCCTGCGACAGACTGGATAAGCGGCGAGCGGTTTTGGCCGTGGCTAAAAGCACAACTGGGTGGGTCAATAACCATTTCTTGAACTAAGCGGTCCTTGAACGTTCCCTTGACTGATGATGGCCGATTGTCTTCCTCAAAGACGTCAGTGCCTTGATCATGACCATCTGCCTTATCATGATCGGCTGAACCTTTTTGTTTCAGGTTTTCCTGCAGGTCCACCTCTTCAGCCACTGTGTCCAAGTTGTTTGGTGGCGCATTTGAATCCACGGTTGGATCATTCTCGGCTGAACCTTTTTGTTCGAGGTTTTCCTGCAGGTCCATCACCTCTTCAGCCACTGTGTCCAAGTTGTTTGGTGGCGCATCTGAATCCACAGTTGTTGTTTTTTGCTTTTTCGCTGTGGGGCTGGCTGAGGGCTCATCCGGCAACTTCTTCTTTGTGGTGATCGGGAGCGTCTTTTTCGGATCCTTTTCGGGGGAAGGATCCTTTGCCAAATGGCTTGGGGCAGGTGAGGAGCCCACAAATTCTGGCTGCACACATTCATCTTCGGTTCCCATTTCCTCCTCTCCAGTCTCCTGGCCAGGCCTTGCACGACCGTGTTCGGCCTGATCTTCTTCGGAATCTTGCGCCTGGGCGGATCGATCGCGCGTATAGGGTCAATGCATGGATCAACTAGCTTGCACTTTGAATCATCAGCATGAGGGTCAGACCTCTAGATCTCGATCTTCATCGTCAGCGGTTAAGCGGGCCTGTGAGGCATGCGTTGGCAGAATAACCCTGTTAAAAATCCCACCTTCATGGCCTCACGGGCAGCAGACTTGAGCTGCTCCATTCTGTTGTGCCCTTTCCTGCAGGAGGCACTTGATGGAGCGAGCAAACAAGTGCTAAAAACGCAGTACATGTACTTGCTGCCTGGCTGAAGCATTCCGGTTGGTTCTTCGGATGACGTAGGCCGCCAAACCACGATGCAGTTCGGCTTCCAGGTCTAACCACGCCTGAGGGATGTATATATGCACTCTGTCAAATGGCATAGCGAGTTTGCAAGTCTTTGAGGCCGCAGCGTTCAAAGCATCACGGGAAGAAAACTCATTCAGGCGGAAGTAGTCGTTGCACCATTTCAACGCCTCCTACGGACAGCAAACGCGTGCCACAAACAGATGGGTAGGGTTCAAACTCCTTGTGCTCTCTGGGTGTTGGAAGTGCTCCAGCGAAGGTGGCTACATAGTTGAGGGCGAAGTCAAAATTGGTGCTGGAGTTTGTGATCTGCAACAAAATTGCTAAGCGCCACATGTTTCACTCCATTATTGATTCATGGCCTGATCTTCATTCAGCTGTAGGCCAGCTGTTTTGCTCTTGGAGATGTCCAGGAACCGAAAAACAGGGGCCTGCAAGGCCACATCAAGATGGCAAACAAGAGTTTTCAATTGGGGCAAAAACATTAGTGAGGTCGACCGCCCTGCCTTGTTACCCTTAGCCTTCTCCTTTGCCTTTGCCAAGCGCTCGTTGATGAGATCAGGGGTCAGCACATCCTTGTAGAACTCCTGCAAGGGGCACAAATTGCAACCAAAACATATGTGAATTTTCGGGGCTTAAGCCTGAAGCAGCTTGATTTGGTCTGCCCGAGGCTTCGTGGTTGGCATCGATACGGAGCAGATCGCGCCGCAGCAATCAACAAACAGCACATACAGCAGCCACAGGGCTGTTTTTTTTGGGAGGCCGAGGGATGTTCATCATGTGTCCTGCATGCAGTTTTCCCCTAAGCAAAACCCTGGTCTGAGCACTGAGGCGAAGAAATATGAAAACACGCATGTATACGAGTATATCGCTGGTGCTGCTTTGCAAAATATCTCCGCACAAATGCAAAGAACGCAGGAGGTGCGCACCAATCTCTTCCGAAGGGTTTGAGCTCGAGGATGGTAGGCCTGAGCGTGAATGCTCTAATTCAGACAGCGTAAGTTTCAATCTTAGCACGCGGCTCTTCAGAGCCCGCTTTAACCGCTGCATCCATGGCTGGGAATGTAGCAAGATGCGCTACATGTTGTCTACATCTAGATGTTGTACGCGCATGTCCTTATAAACTGTTCTGTTGAAATGACGCTAGGTTTTCCCAGAATCCCTTCGATCTCCTGCCTTGATGTTGGTCATGCCCCATGCGCCGGCCGGCCCTTTTAAAGAGCCTCAAGGCAAATCGAGGCTGGCCAACTGGAGTTTGGACAAAGGCCTAAGTAAACCTGGCCGTTGACAAAGGCCTAAGTTACCAAGGCCGCGGAAGCCCTGGGCCACCTCTGGTTGTCACTCACTCGCAATCGCGAGACGGCGCCCCTCTCAAGCTCTGACCACCCGCAGCCCTCGGGAGCCGTGCTGAACAAGTACTTTGGGAAGGCTTTTGGAAGTGCAAGAGGATACCGCTCGAATGCCTGCACAAGGACAAACAACCCACTCGTCGGGCAGCATTGTCCCATCGTTATCGCCGCTGAAGAGGGGCGCTTCTTCCCACTGGTGCCAACAGAAGCCACACCCATGAGACGCATGGGAGATCCCCCCTGTTGTTTGAAAACTGCACAGCGCCCTGGCGCCTTGCCGGCAAAACCCTTTGGACCCCCCACTTTTTCTGTTGCCCTTTTGGGGGGCTTCGCCCAATGGCCGGGCTTCTTGCTGGTTTCCTTTAAAGCCAAGCTTCAAAGCGCTTACCCAGACTCCAAAACACGCCAATCTCGCACACACACACACACCCTTTGGGCCAATGGATGAATCTTTCTAGGCATTCTGTGCTTCGAGAGTGGCGAGCACGCGGTGATGTTCGCCTTGGGTGTGGCCTTGCTTTGCCTGCTCTCAGCCTTCCTCGCGGCTTGTCTTCTGCTGGCCTGGCGCGCCCCACTCATGGCCCAACGATCCAAGGCGCACGTCCTGCTCCTCGGAGCAACAACCCGCAGATCTTTGTTTCGTCCCCTTAGTGCCAGTTTGGGATTCCCAGTTGCCCAGCGGGTTGCTTCCTTTGTTCATTTTTTTGTTGGAAGGGTGTCCCTTTACAGGTCAACCAACCAAGAAAGGATGTCGATCCTGTTTGTTTCCCATGCAAATCCACTGGGCATCTGAGGATGTATCAGGACAACATGATGTGTCAAAGTTAAAAAGCCAGGAATTGCTCCGCAGATATCAGTCCTGCCCGTTTACCAGGTCAACCCATGTTGGGGTAATGTTTCACCCACACCCAGGTTTTGTTTCCAGCGTTTTGCACTTCGAGAAAACCCGGCTGGGCCCCACGAAAAAGGGACAGGTGCCGGAGGATGGTAAGCAGAGGTGTCAAGCTACAGATACCCAGGTGACACTTGGGAAGTGAGCTCGAATCTCGTGTCTTGATCCCAATGATTAAGTTTCAGTGCATAGGTGTCCTTTTGAGGTTAGTCTGGTTGAAAATAGGTTTCCACTGCTTTAGATGGGTTTTGATCCATGCACCAGGGCCATCAAATTATTCTTTGTCCAACAGGCCACCTGCCACCTGTGTATACACGGGACAGTTGTCGCTCGTATGGCTTCGGATGGTTTTAACATACCCAAGCATTCCGGCAACCCCATTTCACTGAAGACCTCTGTTGGACCGGTTGGACCCGCGCAGCCGCGTCGACGGGCCCAGAGGCGAAGCATGTAAACTTCAGAGAGGGCTGGAGTGAGCCTTAAGACAAAAGTTGGGGGCGATTGTTTTTCGAGTTTCGATTTTTGCGATCAAGTCTTTTGGGTCACCATCTGAGTTTGATATCCTGTCCCTTGAGTTCGTCAGGCAATCCATGCGCTTCCTCATCGGGCGCTTTCGGGAAGACCACTGGTGGTTCGGGGCCGCTCTCCTACCCCGGGGCCTTTTGCTCTCACTGGCCATTGCATTGGCCACAGACCATCCGTACATCCAGATGATCCTGATTGCAGCTTGAATGCACACCGCAAAGGGCAGCAAGCGGGGTAGCGCCACTGCCAATGCTACTACTACTGCTACTGCTACTACTACTACTGCTAAGGTACTACTACCACTAGACTACTGCCACTACTACTGAAGTACTACTTCTAATACTACTGCTACTAGTACTACTACTAACTACTACTACTACTACTACTACTACTACTACTACTACTACTACTACTACTACTACTACTACTACTACTACTACTACTACTACTACTACTACTACTACTGGTAGTAGCAGTGGTAGAAGAAGAAGTACTAGTTGTGGTTGCAGTAGTAGCCGTGCTGCAGTGGCAGTAGTTGTTGTAGTGGCAGTTGCAGCAGAAGTAGTAGAAATTGTAGTAGTAGTAGTAGTAGTAGTAGTAGTAGTAGTAGTAGTAGTAGTAGTAGTAGTAGTGGCCGTGGAACTAGTAGCACAGCGCCACTACTGCTACTAGCACAAGTTGCACCAGTAGTAGTAGTGACTACTGAATGAAGTGGTACTACGACGACGGCGAATACCACTGCTACTAATATTACTACTTCTTCCTCTACCACTACTACTACCACGACTACTCTGTCCCTTCTTCTTTACTACTTTCGTTGCATTACTATTACTACCATTATTCCGATTACCATTATTTCTTCTACTACTACTACTGCTAAAGTTTTGCTAGAAGTACTAGCAGCGCTGTGCTGCTAGCTCCACGGCCATTGCTACTGCTACTGCTGCACTCTTGTCACTACTACTCCAGTACTAGTACGACGACGGCTACTACTGCAACCGCAACTAGTACTTCTTCTTCTACCACTACTACTACCGCAACTACTGCTACATCTTCTTCTACCCCTATTGAAACCGCGGCTTAACTTGCCCGCAAACACCCCGTTTAGGGCTTGGTTTTGGGCTGAACTTGCCCTCAAACCCTCACTTTAGGGCTCAGGTCTTTATGTTTCACTGGCCCTTTTTCAGGTTAAGGGCTTTTCTTGCCCTCTTTTAGTTTTAGCTTGTCCTCCAACCCCCACTTAGGGGTTCAGGTTTAGGGTCCAGGTTTAGGGGTTTTCGTGCCCTCAACTCACCTGTTTAGGGTTTAGTCTTGGAGCTTGACTTGCCCTCGAACTCTCACTTTGAAGTTCAGGTTTAGGGTTCAGGTTTCGAGGTTTCTTGCCCCCAGTTTTGAGGTTCAGGTTTAGGTTTTACTTGCCCTCAAACCCCTCCTTTTGGGTTTGGTTTTGTTGCCCTCAAACCCTCACTTTAGGGTGTGGAGAGCTTCACTTGTCACCTTCTAACTTCTGGCTGAGCCTCGGCTAGTCTTAGTGACCAATCGAAAAGCCGCACCCTTTCGCAGTCGTGCGCATCGGCAAAGCCTTGCCGAATTTCTAAGGGCAGTCCGTTCGATGTCAGGCGTGGGTGCTAAAACACTGGCAGGCGCGAGGGAATCTGCGCGCGCGAGGCCCCCTGCGACTACTAGCGCAACTAGTACTACTAGTACTACTAGTACTACTAGTACTAGTACTACTACTACTACTACTACTACTACTACTACTACTACTACTACTACTACTACTACTACTACTACTACTGCTGCTACTACTACTACTACTACTCACTACTCCTCCTACTACTGCTACTACTAGTACTACTACTACTCCTACTCCTACTCCTACTGCTTCTACTATTGCATTTACGCGGACCCTCCCTACATCTTCCCCGGCCGCACCATGAATTACTACGGGGCCACGACCTGGCCTTCCACTTGGAGCTCCGATCTTCGCGAACGGCCTGCCCTTCGTCGTGAGCGTCAACGATGTGCCGGAGGCCCGAGAGCTCTACAGCAGGGCCACGGTAGTAGTAGTAGTAGAAGTAGTAGCACAAGTAGTAGCAGTAGTACTAGCAGTAGCAGTAGTAGCAGTAGTAGTGGTCGCGGAAGCAGTAGTAGTACTAGTACTCGACTGGCGCTACTAGTGCTACTACTAGCAAAAGTTTCACCAGAAGCAGTAGGAGTAGTCGTGCAACGACAGTGGTTTTACTGTCAGTCGCAAGAGTAGGAGTAGTAGTAGCAGCAGCAGCAGAAGAGGTGACAGAAGTAGTAGCGGTTGCAGCACAAAAGAAGTAGTACTTGTAGTCATCGTAGTAGTACTTCGGTAGTAGTCACCGTAGTAGTAGCAGCAGTAGCTGTCATTGAAGTAGTAGCACTAGCACTGGTGCTCGACTCTTTTCTCTTTTATCGCCTACTCCTGCTGGATCCGCTACTGCGCTACTACTACTACTACTACTACTACCACTACTACTAGCACTATTGCTACTACTCTTACTGCTAACAGTGCTACGACGTGGTCAGATAATTGCTGGTAGCACTAGCACAGTAGCGCGCGTCGAGCACCAGCAAAAGTGCTACTACTTCGACGACCACTCTGCTACCACTGCTGTTACTATTACTACCACTACTGCTATCACTACTACTACTACTGCTACTGCTACTGCTACTGCTACTACTACTACTGTATTACTTTTCCTGCTGAAAGTACTACTACTTGTACTGCTACTACTACTACTACTACCACTGCTACCACTACTGCTATATTGCTTAACCTGCTGAAACTACGACTTTTACGACTACTACTATTACTACTCCTACTACTACTACTACTACCACTACTGCTACCACTACTACTACTACTACCACTATTACTACTGCTACTTCTACTGCCAATGCTACTGCTACTACTACTACTACTACTCCTACTTGTACTGCTACTACAATTATTATTCTCAGTGCTACTGCTACTACTACTACTACTACTAATAGTACTACTACTACTACTACTACTACTACTACTACTACTACTACTACTACTACTACTACTACTACTACTACTACTACTACTACTACTGTTCGACTGTGATTTTTTTGACCCTGAACTAATTTTCTGTTGGTCCTTCCGCCCTCTAAAGCTGGTAATCTGGCAGATTGACCTCGTTTTGACCGAACCACCAAATTGCTCCAGATGATTGAGCGGAGCCATGCCTTTTCATGAGGTGGATTTGTTGTACTGTACCGGGCTGAGGCGCTGGTTGTGTTGTGCTACCTCATCATTCAGCTGGTGACTTGGCCTTGGAAGTTGCCGGCCTTGAACTTTTTCGACGCTGCCATTGGAGCCGCTCTG